CTAGCTTCATTTTCTCGACTACATAAAGTCGATGCTGGGGTGCCACGTGGGAAGTATAGCTTTCCAGGTCCTTCGGCTGTCGGAACTCGACGCACAATTATTTGTAGGCGTGTCAAGTACCGTTCTGGTTGTCTGAATAAGCGATTTCTTTGTCTCGATCTAAGACCTAGGCGTCTTATTTTCTCTTTCGGGTCCTCAGCCGCCCGAAGGGCTAGAGGGTGCCAGATATCTATTCTTCGCATACGAGCTGCGGACCGCAGCATCTTTTGCTGAAGAATTATCAATGCCGGGGGTTTTCCCGCTTCACGATAAATAGCGCTATTGGGAGTGGTACGCCACGCTGAGAGTGCTACTCTGATAGCTTTCATTATCGTTTTATCCAGTGAAGATAGATACCAGCCTACTCCAGTGCCGACTTCTTTATCTCGCAGTGTAGTTATCCGAGTGAGACCCGGCAACCACGCTTCTGCCCCATATAGAGCTGTGCTCAGAACGCATACATGTACTGCACGAATCAGAGGTCCGGGTGCTGCATCGCGTTGAGCTCCGTTAACATGTCGTAAGAAATGGACTGGACGATTAGCCTTTCTTGTACATTCCTGTACATGCTGCTTGAAGTACAGCTGGGTATCAAGCCAGACTCCTAGCCACTGGATATGAGTTGACTGTTCGATCCAGCGATCTTTCACCGAGATGGAAAGATCAGCCACGTTGATTTTCTTTCTAGGCCCTCCTCCGATCACTAGAAGTTCTGACTTTGTCAGGTCAAAATCGATCCTGTGTTCCCTTGCGAGTGTTGTAAAAATCTAAGTTCATAACTGCACACACTATCAGGGGATAACCGTGCACTAGCTAAGTTAAGCCCTTGGGGTCTGATCACTTTTGCCTCCTGGTCGCTTTACACTGACATCAACGTGTTCACTACAATGAGGACAGCACTGCAGTTACTCTAGCTATCATAGACAACAACATGTAGAGGAACAAGGGTAGGAACTCCTGTATGTAGATAGGGCCTTTTTACTCTCAGTATCTACATCCATCATCCACAAATACAATTCACCATTAATCGATCATCTTACTCTGTCCAAGTGATCTATTGTTAGGATTAGGTCCTGTTCAACGATGTCTAGCCTAATTGTGCTATGTTGCAGGCTACTGTTACAATTATTCATGGGGTCATCATCAGGGTTGTGAGTAGTTTTCGGTTTTGGTGTGGGTTAACAGATTGATACCTGAGCGTGTCGCATAGTAGTCAGACATGCGACTCGAGTAGCATTTGCACGGTAAACCTCAACCCCAAAATGATGATACGAATCAAGTTTTACATGCTAGTTCCTGTATGGCTAGCGAGGTTGGAATATGGAGAATTTACCTGTAGATAGATAAAGACGTTGTAGCCCTCTGATGGTTGGGACAAGACTTCTACCATATTATATCGGAATCAATCCTAGCCTCTCATTAAGCAATCTCATGAATTATTTCCAGTGTCTGTGATAATAGACGTACATAAATAAAGTCGACGACAATAAGTTCAAAGTCGATAATCTATTGAATTCTCCCATACCTATCAGTATTCTATTCACAAGGTGACGTCTCCCTATCAATCGCCCTCAGCCTCTCAATAGCGAGAAGGATAAAGCTGTCGAATTCGCCTTGAGCTGCGGAGATGGCATCCGCCGCGGTGTTTCCAATTCTGACAATAGCTACATCATCAGCATAAACAAACCTGCTCGTTAGACCACGATCCTCAAAAAGCACAGCGATGCAGAGCATAAAAAGACGTGGCGAAGGTGGCGAGACCTGAGGTACTCCACATTCCAGTATCTTCTCTTCTGTGATTCCACCGCGGTATTTGGCCTGGACTTTTCGTTGGCAAAGAAATATCTGAATAAACCGGCATAGGGATCGTGGCCAGCCTTGTTCTCGAAGACGTTTGAGCAATCGGTTGTGAAGGACTGCATCAAATGCACCTTGAATGTCGAGTATGACCATAGCCGCACACTTACCGCTTCTCATGGCCGCCTCAGCATCACGGATTACACAGGATGCAAGGTCGACTGCAGATCGTCCTGGTACGGAGCCGAATAATTGTGGGTGAACAACTTGGTGACTCATCGTTAGCCTCGCCATTCTCTTATCAACTAGACGCTCAAGTCCTTTGCCTAAACTCGAGAACAGCGAGATTGGTCTCCAACCCTTTGCAGTTGACAGATTTCTATCCGGCTTTGGAAGAAGCACAACTTCTGCCACCCTGAAATCCATGGGAAAGTAGCCGATTTTCAGACAAGCCTGGTAAAGATCTTTGACGAGAGGTCCTAGATGGGACCAACAGGCTTTCAGTAACCGTGCCGTTGTCTTGTCCGCTCCCGGTGGCATATCATTGACAGAGACAGTGGCGCTTGTCACATCGTCCAGTGATATTTCCGTATCCCATGGAATGCGCTCCTCCTGTCCATTCTCCCAGGTAAAAATGTCATTCTCGCCACTAAACCTAGCCTAGAGAATGTTTCGTAGCGCACTAGCTCGCTCTCGCGGATCAGATAGCCACCGGCTTTCGTCAATCTATAGAGGGGGGAGCTCAGCAGCTAGTCGAGACTTAGCCCATAAGATAGGGTATATATTTGAATTTGATTTCATTTAGCCCGATTTGGCGCCCCATGGGCTCATGCAGGTGTCTACGAACTCTAATATTTACATAGGAGGAAACCTTGCAGTAAAAACCCCCTTAGCTGTCTGATTGGACTCTACGCCATTATAGTCTTACCTCTAGGAGGTGCACTCACACTGTTCTTGCCAGTGTGGATTCCGTCCTTGTCCTGTGTTTCCATTTTCCTCTCTTCGCCTGATTAACGCCTCGATTTCCCCGGTAATCTGAAACTGCTCTAGCCATCCTTCCTTTTAAATCCACTCTGCAATTCTAGTCATATCTTTGACCTTATTTAACATAGCTTCGAAAGATCGAGTCATCGATTTCCGTAGAAACTTTCCTCTACCCTTTGCCCATCTCTGAAAAGACATCACCATGTGCTTTATATTTTGGGACGGGTATCCACATTGGCAGCATGGTTTTCCTACTCCTGGCACGTTCCTTCTATATAAGTAAGCATTGAGCCCAATGTGCTCGCTTACTACTTGTGTGGCAATGCTACACTGGGTCCTGCTAAGGTTTTGGTGGATTTGGATAGGTGATTCTCTACAGTTCATCATAAGCCTACCTGTTTTCTTGTCGTTATATAAGCTTGCAGCTTTCCACTTATCCGGATTGGCTTACGCTTGGGGATCCGAGCGTCGCTCCTTCTGGCCCGTCCAGGATTCTGACCACTCCTTGAACGCGGCGTTCTTACCGGCTACTTTCTGTCCTATTTTAGAATATAAGATATATAAAGAATAATTATAAATAATTGCAATTATTCGGTTACCTTAATTTAGTGCCTTGGGTACCGTGCAAGCTTTATCGGATTAAATGTGCTTTAACTATGATGTCTCAGTTTGACGTTTAGAACACTCACACTCAGATTTCATTTGCAGACATCACTCGTGGTTAATTTTACGGCGTAAAACTTCTTCCGTGCATACCCATCACAGGGAAAAGCGTGAAAACTTTTTACTATTCAAGTGTGCATACATCAAATTACAAGTACCACATCACCGCGAGAGAGAGTGGTGCATGAATGATGCTAGATACGATCCAGCTCTCTCTTGTCTCCCGCTTAGTGGGTGCTCAAACTACCCGACTCATGCTTGGGGAAGCGACCCGAAATATGTACCACTGCACCATCCGACCCAGTATATCTGGTTAATAAGGGAGTAAAATATATCAAAGTATGTGTGTGTTAAATGCAGAGAGTGAGAGGGCTTAACCGAATCACCCAGATGACTAAGCAACATTTTCCAACAAGAACGTAAAGTTCTCAAGATCAGCTGATTCATCAAGAGAATGACTCAGCAACGGAGATGCATCACTAATAGTGCATAGCTATAGAAAGGACTCTCAAATTGTAGTGTCACAGTAGTAGGATGGTAGTTGGCAATGGTTTAAGGTTATTCGATAACTGAGTGTCTCAAGACCTTCGTGTAGCTAGATATTCTCTTCCCTTCTCATTGCACAACTCATATATAATATTTTCCTCATTCTTCGTACCCTCGCCCTGTGACAAGTATTGTTGTTTTTTGTGACGGCTTGTGAGCCGATAAGCCCTGTAGCCTTCGATGGCTATCGAAGGCAACCTATATTATCTATCACTCCGAGGATTATCAGCAGACGAAAACTGATATGAGATAGCCACTGAGGCTACGTAAAGGATAGTGCCAAGAGTATCGGAAGCGTTACCCGTGTGGCAGAACAAACCTTACGTCAGTTTCATTGCCACTGTAAACGTAGGCTAGATTTAGATACCTCTGGATGTGTATAAGTAGTAGAGGAGACTTGTAGGTAGTTTGCTTCTACATAGATGAATTATAGCTTTACCTTTCAATCATACAAATGCCCATTCGCTTTCTATATTCGAACTGTGACATTTTTTAATTTTAAAATGTTCTGTTCAACATTCTTATTCTAGCACTAGCGAATCAATAAATGACATATTTGAGGAGGGGGATAAAGATTCATTATTGTCAGGTATTAGATTTTAGATAGATGACGGCGGATTTAAGTGTTAGACTAAATTTATATTGGCATAATTTACTGGAAATAGCAGCTATCTACTAGAAAAATCAGGATAGACTTAAAATTATAGAGCGTGAAGTAAAATTAGACTTTTCGATCAAGAGCCTAGCTCAATTCTTAAACTATCGGTGAACTGTATTTTATAAAAATATTAATTTATTAGCCTATCTAGGCACTATTAAAACAGAATTTCCCCTAAGCATGGATACTATCCTATACCACTTGTATTTCCACAATAGAGTTGTTGATGGCGACTAACGGGAGTCATATTCAAACGCTATTGTATCATTTACGTCGGAGTTTATTTCAAAAATATGAAGAGCTGGGGATTGAATCATCCTGCCAATACCTTTATCGCTTTCTTGAGAGTTTCTGATGGGGGTCTAGGTATATCGGGAATTTCCACTGACTTTACCGACCATGACATAGCTAAATATCCATCACTAACAACCAGAATGTCAACATTACTACCATGTACTCCCCCTTCGGGAATTTCAAAAATGGCTCTCATATTAGATGTATTACTATCGAATGAAGTTAATCCAACTCTTTTAAGAGCCACAATTTCATCTTTATTTGCTCCACGAACGAGTACAAAATAGCCTTCAGATTGAGATTTTGGAAAGTTAGGGGCATACATTCTTCCATCGACATTGCGCCTAAGGTTCAGACGATGAAGCACCACGTTAATTTTCATGGCATTAACATCTTGCACATCAACTTTTATGTTAGGAATCATGCTTGCAGCATTTTCAAACTGTGATTTGAGATAACTTGATATATTTAACTTGGAAATCATCTGTTGATATGTCTTCTCTGACGCAGCAGAAAACTCTTGAAGAGTTTGTGAAATACCTGTAACGTTAGTGGGTACATCTTCAACACCAGGTAAAATTGAAAGAGGATGATCGTCGTGCCAGCGGGCACATTTAATGCATTGGAGCAGAGTTATCATTTGTACCACGCTTGAAAAATATCCCATCTCTGCAAGAATGTCGATACCTGCTTGTACAATTCGAATTGCTTGGTCTAGAACGCTTGTTTGATCGCCAATATAATCAGAGATGGGGAGTTCTATACGAGAAAAGTGAGCTTGCAACAAAAGGAAAGCCTTTAAATGTGGGTCCCACATGGGGAGTTGATCAAAATAAGCTGTAGTTAGGGGAAGATTTCTAGCTAGCTCAGCGTTGATGAGGTCTTCATTATGTCGGACAGGAAGTTCATCGTATTCTGCCGCGCTACACATCCATGAAAGAACTTCATCGAAGCTTGCATTTGGTTTCGCATTCAGCGCAAAGTGCCGAATCGTCCGATGAGATAAATAATAATAGCTCATAATCTTACCAAATGGTGTAGTCTTGATATTACCATTTGGATACAATTCTAGACACTTTGATTCAGAAAGTTGCTCAAGAGATTTGTCCACCATTGATATCATGTATTCATTTGCCATCTCTTGCGCAGCTGCTGTATTTTGATCTTCGGCAGTAATTTCTAGACCGTAGTATGATGGATTCTTATGCAAACGTCGAAAGAAGAAGGTCCAAGTAAGATAATCAAGCGCATCTTGTTTCGTTCTGATAGTTTCAGCAGAAATTTCTGCACTTAAATGATTATCGAGAGCATTGTGAAGAGACGACTCGACTGGAAATCCAGTGTGTAAGAAATTCTTATAAAAAGCTTTTTTGGCATTTTGTGTGAATATTTTAGCAATACCAGAGGTATCGAATTGAGGACGGCCAGCACGCCCGAGCATCTGCAAGACATCAGTGAGATCCATATCTCTATATCCTTCAATTTTTGCATCAAAGTACTGGGTGCCTTTCACAATAACTAGATGCGCTGGAAGATTAACACCCCAGGCTAGGGTACTAGTGGCCACTAATACTTGAATTTTGTTTTTAGCAAATAATTCCTCAGACAAAGATCTATCAGATTCAACAAGACCGGCATGATGAAGTCCGATTCCAAAATTAATAGACTCTTTAAGAGCGTCATTTTTGACACGACGGAGGGTATCTTGTAGTTCTTCCTCTGGCATTTTCATAAATCTACGTGGATTGTCTTCCATGCCACAAAGATTAATCAAGTCTTTAGCTGTCAAGCGTGTCTGGCGTCGAGAGGCAACAAAGACAATGACAGGTTTTTCCGGACTATGCGTCTTAATTGCGTGAAATGCTGGCCGATTCATTGATTGCATGAGGGGACAAAAGCCATGGGTGTCGGGGAAACCGTCTATAAATATTTCAAGCGGGACTGGACGAACACTATGTCGAAAGTTAAATAACCCTTCATTCACTCCGAGCCAATTACCTAAATCAGAGGCATTGGCACATGCAGTTGACATTCCGACAAGTCTAATTCTATTATTTGATTGCGCTGCAATGAAGTTCATTCGAGAAACGATAATTTCCAGAATTGGACCACGATCGCCACCCAAAAGGTGGATCTCATCAATGATCACAAGACTAACTTGTCTGACGTAGCTTCTTGTTACCCAGCTTCTACTTATACCGTCCCATTTTTCTGGTGTCGTGATGATTATATTTGCATCTTTTATTGTCCGAGTATCTGGTGTATTATCACCGGTTAATTCGACAAGCTTCAAGTTCATTCTTTTTGTTAATCGACTACTCCAGTCTTTTACGCGCTCTCTAACAAGCGCTTTCATTGGGGCGATATAGACTACTTTAGAATTCGGATATTCACGAAATGCCCACCACATAGCCAGCTCGGACGCAATAGTCTTTCCTGATCCAGTTGGGGAGCCTAATAGAACATTTTCAGAAGTGTGATAAAGGCAGTGAAATATTTGAGTCTGCATTGGATTAAAATACTGAAACTTCTTCCTATAAATTGCCTCAAGGTCTCTATTTTTAAGCGCTGTAACCGGTAAGGGTTGAAGATTCAATAAATCTGTATATAGACTCTCTGTTTCTGGTCTTATTAAGTGCTGAAACGAGATTGGATGTACCGTTTCGGCACCTAGCCATCTATCAGACACAGCTCGCACATAGATCTGAGTTGGAAGTGGATCTGATAGAGGTATTGTAAACTCAAGTTCGTGATCATCGTATAGCTTTTTCCGATTCAAGATGAAGAATTCATGATGATATATTTCAAAGGTTTCAGAATTTTCAACCCATACCCAATAGCTTTCAGACGTACCGTGGTATCTATCATCCCATCTAAAATCTGGAGTTATAAATAGTCGAATTCTCAACACATCTCTATTCAGAGGAGCAATCTCTGATTCCAGACTAATCGTAGGGAAACTATCAATAATTTTTCGTATAGTCTTCCCAGCCGAGAAGTTGTGGACTAATGAACCTATTTCAGCAGGTTCCATATCTCGAAGCGTTTCTATTGAGGTAGAGGTTTTTCTGGCATCTAGTTGATTCATAATCGGCTTTGGTAGGTCAAATTGATGAAGCGGGTGTTGAAATGACCAGACTTTCTTTTCGATAGACTTGCATAAGGATAATAAAATGAGGCACTGATGGCCCCATCGACGATTTAAGGCAATCATGAAAAGAGCTCGACAAATCCTGGCTGATTGTTGAGCAATATAATTAGAATCATTAGCGAGCGCAAAATCCTCGATATTGGCCCGCGAAATAAAAGCCTGCAAGAGAATATTTGTCTTAGCCTGTGGGGAGTCAGTGTGATCTCTGATGTTACATTGCGTAAAATCTTCTTTTAAATTGGTAAGCTCTTTTTCTTCTGTTTCCCGATATTGGATATTGTCGAATTCGCCAGACATGGCGATCATAGATATAATATCCGCTTCTGTGGCTTGAGGCTTCATTAGGTTGTTAAAAATCTCAATACTAGTGTGTAAAATATAATATTGACTAGCAATTCTACCAATATCCTTACTTCGTAACTCATCAGTTACATCGTTAAAGATAATCATTTGATTTTTCTGGAGAGTCCGAGCAGCTTGGATAACTAGTTGACGCCGCCGCTGGACAAGATTAGGATCTTTGCTTTGTTCTGTCCAGTCAATTCCGTACGTTGTAGGATTCCGCATCATGCGTACGAATAAAAATGAGTATCCTAGCCACTGAACCGCATCGGGAATTGATGTTACAGTTCCTAGACTAATTTCGGCATTTAAGTTATCGACCAGATGCTTTGAAAAACGCGATTCGATAGGGACTTGTGCTGTAACAGCAGTAAGATAATGGCTTAGCTTTTCATGAGATGTCACAATCATTCCAATACCAGTATCTTGAAACTGTGGCCGTCCAGCGCGACCAAAAATTTGGAGTACATCCAAAATCCCTAGGTCAATAAATTTACCATCTTGTGCGCTGTAAACTTGAGTTCCTTTGATTACCACGGCAGCTGCTGGCAAATTAACCCCCCAGGCAAGTGTAGCAGTGCAACAAAGAACTTTTAAAACCCCGCTGCCAAAGAGCCTTTCCATCAAGTTGCGGTCTGATCTTGCCATACCTGCGTGATGTATTCCAATTCCTTTTGGAAGTAGTTCACGCAATTCGCGACCTCTTGAAGATTTAATATCCCTGACGGCTGCCTCGTATTCAGGGTGTGTTGTCGGATCAAATAATTCAGCACACATTTCTTCGAGAGCTTTCTCAAATATCATTTTTGAAGTGTTGAAAGTATCTCTGCGAGAATGAACAAAAACCATCACCTGATGATCTTGTTGTCGCATCTGTTTAACTTTTTCGAATGTAGTTTTGTCGATATTGTCCCGCGATGTCTTTGAATTAGGCTTTCCTTTGACTCCGATGAAATGTTGCTCAAGGGGAACTGGTCTAAAACTCGCGTCAAAATAGAACAGCCCCGCATGTCGGTTGACTTTTAAAAAGTCTGCAGCATCTATATAGTTTGGTAGAGTGGCAGATAGTCCTACAATGCGAATAAGTGATTGAGTGCTCTCTACCTGGCGCTGTGTTCGAGCAACTAGAGATTCAAGGACAGAGCCTCTATCATCATGAAGCATGTGGATTTCATCTATAATAAGCAATCTTACTTTCCGGACAAGTTCAGTGTCGCCAGTACTCTTTCTAGTAATAACATCCCATTTTTCAGGTGTCGTTACGATGATCTGTGTCGTTAAAATTTCTTTTTTTGTTAGATGCATGTCACCAGTTAGTTCTCGAGCGTTTATTCCTAGCCAAGAAAGTCGGGTGCTCATTTTCTGTGTTATCTCTGCAGCGAGCGCTTTCATAGGTGCTACGTAAACAATTTTGAAATCTTCAAGATTCACATCAAATTCTGTGCGTTCCGGAAATTCGGCCGGGCTTGGAAACACGTTCTGTCCAATTGTGTGAAGAATTGTTAACATTGCGGCATCAGTTTTACCCTGTGATAGTAAGTTTTACACACCTACAAAGGTCAATTGAAACCTACAGCGCCAGTAGGAGCGCATATCAGCATGTTTTCACTTGTCTCATATGCTATCGGATAAACGAGACTTTGCATTCGGTTCAAATTATTATATCCCTTGAAAGTCTTCTTGCAAAGTCCGTCCATTGTTGAAACTGCAACCAGTTTCTTTTCCAACCCTAGAGTCCCAACTCTAGATGCGGGTATAATATGTTCTTCGTATATCTAATGATTAGTCTAATTCTAGTTTAGCAACCCGTATTTATGAACTTACTGCCGTGACTTTAGTCTCACTGCCGGCTGGCAAGCCATATTTATGCCCTCTTGAGTCAAGAATGTTCCCGGCAGAGTATGTCTTGAAAACATGAGGGTACTGGGGCTCATCTCGACTATGTGCTGGTAGTAACTTTTGAGTCTTGTGTTGATAATCTCCTTGCTCCAAAGCTTCCAAGCGCTGGAGCTTCGTCAAAAGTTTAACCGATCGTACTTCATTTTCCTTGGGTTTTAGAAGATGATTTTTTTTAATTTCACGTCGATGGGCAATTAATTCGATGATGAGATCTAAGTGATCATATCCAATTATATTAGTTAAGGCTGACGCGAGCTCTTCTTCTGGATCTTCAGACAATATCGAAGACATAATCTGATTATGAAGCTCTTCAGCTGAAAGACCTTTCAGACCTTCAGCAATATCCTTACATTTCTTCTTGAGCCATAATTGATCATAGTCTCCAGTCACAGAGCAATGATTGTATTCAAGGTTCAGATCCTCACCTACCTCGCTGCTCCAACTATCTTCGTCATCTTCGCTGTGAGGATCTGCATTTTTATTCCTATTGGCGTAAGTAATGAAAGAGTTGTCATATCCGAAATTCGACGCATATATGTCAAGGATAGAGCGATCTAATTTCGTAGAAAACCCAAGTTCAGCTACCGCCGCCTTCATCGCCGTAGCTTGCATTCGCCAATCTGTAATTGAAGAACCCATGGTTGGGCGGACAGAGGGAGATAATTTCAGTCGACCTTGTTTGTAACATTTAGTAATGATTACAGTTGTCTGAGGTTCTCTGCTGGATCGGATCTCTACATCGTCATTTGAGAATTTTCGATTCTAACAAGAGACTTCCTATCTATGATTTATTGACAACTTGTAGTTTCTCAACGGTATATAGTTATTTAATCGTGGGAAACAGAGTTTGCTGCTGCAAGTCCCTCACAAAGAAAGCTAAGTCACAATTAGTGGGACAAGAATTTGTCAACATGGCTTACTAATTTAAGCTTATTTTATCAGTGTGCAGGGAGGGAAGTGGTCATGCTACAATATCGACTATGGATGAAAACTGTACCATCCACTAAACGTTCCTGTTTAGATACACAGTTCATGCTGCACATCTATGTTTAACAAGAAGAATTTCACCTGTGCGAAATTCAGAAATAAATAAAAGCATGTCCATCATTACGAATTTTCATCACTATCAGTCCTACTATTCATCTATCCATAACATTTTTACTAAATAGCTTATCGCCACATTCACTGACCGAGGAGCTGCTTCGATTTTGAGCGAGAGCTTACTTGATCAGTAATCAGTTATCTCCCAAAATCTATTTACCGTGCGACGCTTACCCACAAGTAGAAAATAAGTCATAATACACAAAGTTCGGGTCTTAGTTTAAAGGGGCCTGTAGAACTAAGGAGGTCCTACAAATTTAGGAAGAAATCATAAAACGAGAGGGGTAAGAGGTTAACAACTGGTATAATGGGACTGATTTTTTCGAGAATTTTTCGACTATAGGACGTTAGTAAGTGTCGAGGCTACGATTTCGAGCAATTAGTCAGGAATTCTATTGCGATGACTCTATAGCACAGTAAAATCAGGCAAAGCTACTACACAGTAAATATACTCTGTAACGATTTTTCTGACATTTTAACACGATCTTTGGGAAAGTGTCTAGAAGACGCTCGAAAGGCATAATGTGAATTTCCTTAATTACGTATGAGTTTGCAGTACCTACCTTTATGGCCTCCCCGGATCATTTCTAAGGGAAGCTATGTCCTAGGATTTTGTCTTAATGTCTGTATCAGGTAAGCCCTGCATTTACTGGCTTTTTGCAAATTTTCCCGGCTACCATACACCCGCAAGTGAACATTGTTTCGTTGACCATAGAGGAGAGCTAATAAAAGTCGAAGGGCTCCTCTAAGTATACGATTGAATAAGGGCCTGTGAAGGGTGCTTTTACGTAAGGGGAGAGGTTTATGAGGCTTTTAAGGGGATATAATACTTGATGGGTATCCTCGGCCTGTAGTTAGATAGGACCTGCATGTCCTACTTAGTTGATCACTCATAAAGAATAATAAAGTCAATTAAACCTAACGAGGTTTCAAAGCAGTGTCGCCCTACAGCTGAGGAGCCAGCATATTGAGCTTAATTCTTACCTGTATAGAAGAAAAGTACTTGGAAATGAAAACTCGAGCTGTCAATGTGGATCTTAGTCACAAAACGTTAAACACATGGTAATGGCTTGTGCGCAGTGGGCAAATGGAAGAGGCAACCTTCTCCGACAAGCTAAAGACAGGTCATTTGAAGCAATGATGGACAGCCCAGAAGATGTGGCCAGAGCCACACAGTGGATACTAAGCAAACGATGGATAATAAAGTTTCGACTTGCAGGAGAAGTCGAGGTAGCAATATCGGATAGAATAAAACGATCTAGGAAGGAAGAGGGTGGAATCCACACTGGCCGAACACTGTACACTGCACTTCCAGGAGTGAGACCAAAGTTGAAAGCAATGAAAAAAGGCAGTAACAGGAGATTTTCATAAAATTGGTTTCCTCCTTTGTAAATAATGAAGATAGTTACCTGCACGGACCCACAGGGCGCCTGATTGGGCTTCATGAAATCAATTTCAAAATCAAAACCAATTTAAGAACACGAAATTATAACCACTAGCAGACGGTCTCCCTACCGGCAAAGACGAATTCTTCACCTTCTAGTGATGCGGGTGCAATCGCTCAGTATTCTCTGCATATCTAGGATGGCCAAGAATGATCGCATCCGAATCGAAGTCGAAAGCAAACACATGCACATCTCCATTTGACGACTTCTCAACCATGCGGCACTCACCATTATCTTCTGAGTCCTCAACCCGATCTAACCACATTTCATCTTGCCTCGCCGACCGATAAAGGCGTCACTCCAATTGCAATCAGGAGCTTGCCTCATTCATCACCGGCCATCAATCACTACAAATTTACGACGCTACGTATACCCGCAAGGAGGAAATAAAGTCATAATATACAAAGTTAGGGTCTTGGTTTATGGGGGACTGTTGCTCTAATGGGGTTATATATCTTGAGCAAGGACAGGCGGCTGAGATATGTAGCAAGAGGGGGAACAAGTCTTTGAAGACCATGCGGGGACTGATACTTTCCAGGAGTTTTCAGCTTTAGATTTTTTGTGGGCGTCAAGACCAAGATTTCGGCTCATTAGCCAGGAGGGCTTCTTTTGTCGATGAGTCAACGGCACTCCCCTGCGCCCTGGACGGCACAAAAGAAGTTGGGTTAAGCTACTATACAGCAACCACGCTCTGTCAAGAGTTTTCTGAAATTTCAGCACGACCTTCGGGAAGGAGTTGGAAGGAGGCTAGAAAGGCAGAGAGTGAATTTCCCGAGGTACCCACAAGTCTACAGCGCCCAGCTGGCCGGCCTCTTCAAACGCATCAGAAGGATCACTATGTCTTCGGATTTATTCCTAATGTCGGTATTAGAAGAGCCCCGTACCCAGTGGTTTTTGCAATTTTTCCCGGCTGCCATACATTCGCAAATGGCCATCGTTTCGTCGGCTGGAGAGGGGAGATAAGGAAGGGCAGAGGGCTCCTCTAGGTGCATGATCGAATGAGGACTTGGGAGGGGTGGTACTGTTTGAGGGGGTCTGTATGGGAGAGATAGGAGGGGATATACTGCTGGTGTAGGTATCTTTTGACTGAAGGCAAAGAGGTCCTGCATGTCCTGCATAGTCATAGACTCGGACTAGACAATTAAATGAAATGAAATAATGGACGATCTCCCTTATTGGTTTGTTAAGACCCCTTTGACCATCGGACGATGTCCGTTAATGGCACATGCAGAGTGACATCGTTGATCGGAAGAGGGCAAGACTGAACAACTGTACGCGGTGTCTCTACGAATTTGGAAGTGGAATTTTCTCCTTGAACCAAATTCAGTCAAATTTAGGAGTACCAGAAATGTGTATGTGTTTGTAGTACTACCTGACTCATATACTACCTAGCACATTGCGCTCCTTTCTGACCAAGGCCACATCTCATAAGATAGTCCTACCCTCTTTTGTTACGGAAAAATTTTTCTCATAAATTGCCCCCGACGGATAGCCATTGAGCTCAATATTTACCCGTGAAATACATCGTCCATTTCCGGGTAACTTTCTACCCAATAGGATATGAAACCTTCAAAAAACCTGCAGCGCCAGCCAGGCGAGGCCTAGACACTAGGACCACATGAGGTGTGTATATCCATCTCCATCTCCCTTTTTTGTAACAGTCGAAGCCGTCTTGATCCAATCTACCATCGCCGTATGGGGTGCTGGGTACGCTCCGGGAACTCATCACATGATTTCCCTCCATGATCATGGGTTGGTGATGAGTAGGGCTCCGACCCCAACATCTGATCTGACCGTGGTTATCCTTGTGGTAAAGGTGTGAAGGGATAATATTGATGATGATGATGATAATGATATTTTTATCGTGACCGGGTACTGACCCAGCACCCAGGGGGCATGGCACGGGTAGTCCAGATCTATATAAGACTCTTCGCTACCTACATGATTGGTTCATAGGAGCCAGAAATACAGAAACAAAACAAATAAAAAGAAAAAACACCATTTGTGAGGTGCTAGCGCCCTGCACTACACCTCCATCCTCGTGCCACACTGAGCGGCCCTAAGAAGCAATACAGCTGACATTCAAGTTCCCTGTTTATGATTCAATTTTGCTGTTACATTTTGTTACAGTTAGAAAGCGCCAGAATATCTGCCATCCTTCTTGCCCTATCATATCCCTTGTCGTAGGTCGTGGTTCCTTCGTTTCCGTCCTCCATTTCTGGATGGTCGGGCGACACTCTGCAAAATGCCATGGCCGTTTCTCTCGTCCGCATTTGCATCGCATTTCTTCATTCGGATGTTGAAATTGTCTGTGATAGCTAGCGAAATCACCATGCCCAGTCCTTGACGCAATGAGGCGGTGATATGCCCATCGAGGTAAAGCTAGCTCCAGAGGGCGTTTTCTTCGCATCAGTAAGTCCAGATCTTCATACCTGTCCGATCTATTTTTATGCCACCAATCTTCCGCGAGTTTCTGTACTCGTATTGTGACTTGGCGTTTAAGTGCTGCGAATGTCAGGACTTTGTCAGATTCCTCCTGAGTGCACTCTGGTCTCGGGATATTTCCTTCCCTGGTTTTTGATGCAAGGGCTGCCTTTGCAATTGCGTCGGCTTTATCGTTCCCTTCAACACCACTGTGTCCCGGAACCCAGTGGACTTCTACGGCAGGCTGAGCCTTGGATAGTTCAATAAAATTCCGGACCTCAGACTGTGAAGAGCTCGTTCTACCACTCACAAGGGCTCTTACCGCCTCTTGATTGTCGAGGAGCACCTTGATACCTATACTACCTCCAATTTCCGACGCCGCTTCTAGGCCTCGAACTGCCCCGACGATTTCTGCATCAAAGACCTCTGCTCCTGGGAGAAAATTTCCACCACTCGCTATGAGTTCTCTGTCCCTGTATATAGCATAGCCATAGGCTGAGTATGCTGGACCAGTCGATGACCCATCAGAATATACACACAGCGTCCCTACAGGGAGATTTCTAAGCCAATGATTAGTCCGCTTCGACTTTTCCTCCTTGTCGCATTTGGCTCTAGCCATAGCCCTCGCGATCATCGGTTGGTAAAGCTATCCAGGCCCTTCTGATGCCGGTAGGTTGAGGTTACCATTCTGAAGGCGTGTCAGATATCGCTCTGGAAACTTGAAGACACGATCTTTTTGCCCCTCTGTCAGTTTGAGTCGCTTAATTGCTTCCTTTGGTGTCTCAGCTGCCCTTGACGACAAAGGGTGATAGCTGTCGAGTCTGCGGATTCTGGCTGCATTTCGGAGCTGTCGCTGCTGTAGCATAATTTCTGCCGGTAGTATCCCTGACTCACGGTGCAGAACTATATTTGGTGTAGTTCGCCACACTGGCAGTGCGGCTCGAACAGCAGTCAAAATAGTCCTATCTAGTAACTTGAGGTGCCATCCGACACCCGCCACGGGGATAATATTGATGATGTAGACACTATTATCTAATGATGTAACTTATAATGTTAAAGGTAACTTGGTGTACTCAAGCAGATGTTACAGTCTACCGAAGAATGAACAGGGTGGGAGGTGCCCACGCTGAGACGGATTCCAACTCAGGGGGGATGTGCTTGGAAGATAGGGATGCAGCGCAGGGCTCTTTTTTTTGCATCAGATTTGAATTGCATTTGCAGCTACCTAGCTATGACACAACATCAAAGAAAAGTACAGAAGTGATGATTTAACTTAAAGGAAGAGCACTCATGCCTCGGATTTCATTTGCAAGTACCACTGCGAAGTTATGGCGGCTTTTTCTTCACCCCAAGTCAACCCTCATCCGTGAATACCCACCCAGGAGAACGTCTCAAAAACCCTAAGTTACCCAGACATGCCTCCGTCATCCATCAACTTTTCTCCGCGCGAAATGTAATCTGAGATGTCTCCTTCCCAAGTGGAGTAGGTGCCCAGGCTACTCAAACCATACCAGAGAACACCACCAGGAGGCGGATCACAACACCTTCCATCATTGGCTTGTGTTTATAGTGTCAGCTGCACTCTTTAATGCTGGTCATGTACGTAGCAATGAGCTCTCAGAGCCCATCTACCCGTGTCACGTCTAAATAGATGTTAGGTTCGTCCTGTCACGTTAAAGATTTCAAATTCAAAGGTAACTTGGTAGAGCCGCCTAATCGGGAATGGCGCACCGGAAAAATCAATGTATATGAATATAGTCTTCTGTCTAAGACATTTTAGGATATGAATCATCTAGGAGCCATTCACATCGTTGCAGCAAGCTTATGATTACATCCTTCCGTAGCAGTATTCCGAAAAATATGGACCCCGAGAGCGACTGGGAATCCTCATCGAAGTGAAGAAGAAGATGTTCCTCAAGCTCGGCTCTGCAGACTACACTATGAGAGCTGGAGGTTTGCAGGACGCCACTAGCAACAATTGGGTTTGAGCCACTTTCACCTCGTCTAGACTGGCACAAAAAGAGGAAGAATAGACTTCCTTGCAGGCAATAGCTTTAAAGGCACCGAATATTGTCACTAAACACGATAGCTATCTTCGCAACAGTCTTTGCACAAAATGGTTTGGATATGGACCTGGCCGTCCCCCATAACTTGTCTAATTACTGCCAATTGTAACGGTGCCCGAGTCGCCAGGCAAAAAATATTCAGAAGTTGATCGAGAAAGTGCCACTTTTTAAGTAGTTTGGATATCCAAGACTAGTATTACATGAAGCCATTTTACCAATTTATTCTACGACAAGAGTTTCGAGTTTAATCAAATTCGATATGTTTTCGCTTCAGGGGATTTAGATCTACAGTGGCAGATTTAGTTTGCAAACCTAACGGTAGAACTGATTTATTCAGTTTCTGACATTCCGTCTTCCGTTTATCAACGAGATAATAAACATTTAAAAACTCACAGTCACTTCCCAGCGAGATCAATTGATGCTTCGAATTGTCCACTTCGACGCCAATCGAGTCAGTATTTCTAACCAGAAGATTTCGGGGGAGCTTACATTCTTGACCGATGGAAAGTTCTGGCTTTCTGATAGGCCAATACCATACCTTTCTTGATTTGTACGACGAATCTGGAGGTGACCAAGGATAAAGCAGCTCATTCATGTTTCCTGACTTGACCAGCTCCCTGACTCGTGGACAGGCTGCTTGCTGGTGGCTATTAATCGTAATAGTGTCGATGGTTTGATCGCCACACTGGAAATCACCACCCCTGTACAAGAAATTCTTGCCGACCGAGGTCTTGTGTTTTTTCAATGCTGATGGATTATTGTCCGTGTATCTAATATCACTACACCGCCTCCAGCTGTCTCCTTTTTTATATATCATCCCCCTTTTATTTCCAGTTCGGTTTATCGTAGTACGAAACACACTTTCTCGAGTGCCTAAAAATTTATCAGAATGATATTAGGAATTAAAATATTAGGCTTTATAAATACTCTCGGATGTTTGTCTTTCCATCGTAAATTGTACTGGCCATGACCAAACCCTCTCATTATCAAGTTCACTCAAAGTATGGCTTTGAAGGAAGCCACTCGGTTCCTTAAAGTGGTCTGAAAGTGCCCCAGTGGCAGAGTAGTGGTGCAGAGAATCATAAGCTCCATCTAATTCCTTTTCAAAAAATATGAATCCATTACAATCAATCCCGTAAGTCTTGATCGGATTTCTCAGGCTAAGCTCAAGTGAAAAAGTTGGTATAGCACTCGGATTCAGAGGTTGAATACACTTTTGGTAAGTGTTGTCAATTTTATGGATCACACCAATCAAATTACACGTCGAGTCTATAACAACTCGTAGATTGCCAGCTTTGCCTGCAGAATGGTCAGAAATTATGTCATCGTCTATTCAACCACTAGTTCTTAGGAAAAAAAGAAAGTAAACACTTACGTCCAGCCACTTCTTTTACGCTATCCCAACCGAGTGGCCAGGAAAAAAGTGTGGCATCTTTGATACCGAATATTTTTGAACCATCTAACGAAGCCGGGAATTCGACCCACCAGGGTGATCCACCAAGACTAAGGCAAGCGTTATTTCTTCCTCTTTCTACTACCTCAGACTCAATTATATTTTTACCGCAATAATAGTTTTCAAGACTTGGGTCAGCTCGAGCATAGATGAAATAGCTGATGATTGTTCCTGCAACAGCTAGTGATGATTTCATTTTTGTAACTTCTTAAGACATATAAAGATATGGTAACTTTCAGCTATTATTGGGAGAAAAAATTGGATAAAAAGCGTTTAAGGTATAGCTTGAGCTTACACAGTGATATGCGGGTCAGAAATTAAGAATATTCTCATGCATCAATTAAATAGAGCCCTTATGACGAGAAGATCCATAAAATATGTTGTGATAATGTAGTGCGACGCATATTTGAATAAAGGATACGGATGCTTATTTATGGGTGATTTTGGGAGCGAGTAATGCCAGAGCATCAGAATCCTTCAAGTGTCACGAATCCGATGAGCCAGAATTAATATTCCGCCATTTTCTGGAATGTCAAATAATACGCTCATGGCAGGTTATTGCCTGTAGGACAAAGCTACTTAAATTAGAATCAAGAAATTAAATGACAGGTGAAATCAAGCAAGACACAAAATTTCATTACAGATTTATTCTTCGTGAAATTGGATGAGAGCCCAGTCAAGTTTGGATGATAAAAACAAACTCAAGTCCGCTCTGATGTAGAAATAGATTGTAATGTAGTCAATCGGAGTGGAAATATTTAATAGCTTTACGCAGTGTCTTTTACTAACCTGTTATTGAAATATTTTCCCAGAGCGAAATTCAGTCAAATTTCGCATTGCAAAAAAATTGGCTAGCGAGGCAGTGATTCAAGATACTCCACCATGTTAATCTCTCGCTCCCAACGACATCAGTTCCCACCAAAAAATTATCAAGCTCACAAGTATTACTCAGCGGAGGGCAAGACTGAACACCTGTACGCGGTGTCCTCTACGAACCTGGGAGTGAAATATTCTCCCAGAGCCAAGTTCAGTCAAACTTCGCAATACCGAACAAGTTGGCCCACGAGGCAATGATTCAAATTACTCCACCATATCAATCTTTCACTCCCAACGAAATCGATTCCTACCTAAACCTCATCAAGTTTACAAGTACGACCTAGTACATCCTAATCCCAATGACCACACCTCTTGTCGACTTTCTCTGGCCTTAGCTGGTCGCCAGATACACGCCCACGCCGATATTTACACCCGACGGAGGAAGCAAAGCGTGGCGCACAAATCTGGAAGACAATTCCTTGGGATGGATGTGAGAGGGATCAGGACAAGTTAATAAGATGATGCAGAGGATTGGATACAGTCTCGACGGGCGTGGAATTTTGAAATCTGGAAAGGAGTTTTTACAAATTGAGCTTTGTGCGTACCAAGTCTTCGGCTGCGAGAGTGCAGGCGACACTATAAAAACTGCCATGGTTGGATGGTGCGGTGGTACATCATCTTGGCCGGTCTGCCAAGTAGAGTCTGGATAGCTTGGACACATATCCCACTTGAGACAGTAGATCGCTGGTTCGAATCCGGCAAAACACAACCACATTTCTCGCGGCGCTAGTATGCATGGTTGACGAAGGCATGCTTGGATAACTAAAGGTTTTTAAATTCCCTTTGGTGGGTACTAACGGAGGAGGGTCGACTGTTTGTGTAAGCAAACATACCTCATAGTGGTATTTGCAAATGAAATCCAGAGTATGAGTGTCTCTAATGTCAAAAGAGTCATCCAATATGTATACATAGCACCGGTCATGTGTCATAGCTAGATAGCTGAATACACATTAAATGATTCAAAAAAAAAAAAAAAAAAAAAGTATTACTCAGCACGTCCTCCCTTTAGTGGCTATACCTCTCTCTCACTTTCTCTGGCCTCAGCTAACCACAATCATACGCCCATATTTACACCCAACAAAGGAAACATAGTGTGGCGCACAAATCTGGGAGATAGTTGTTTGGGATGAGTGTTAGAGAGGTCAGGATAAGCTCACATGATGATTCAGAGGGTGGGTGCAATCTCGACGGGCGTTAAATTTGGAATTTTCGCAAGAGTTTTACGAGTTGGGCTTTGTGGGTGTGAGGATCCCAGGTTGACAGACCTTGAATTTATTACGAGGCTCTGATAAATTTAAATGCTAATGTAATGTTCGCGTCGGAGTCAGGGCGCAAGATAAGGAATAAATAATTAATCATTCGAATTTACCTATGCAGAGGGAAAGTACCCGGAGAAGAAAAGCCAAGTTGTCCATGTGGATCTTCATCACTAAATTTCAAGCACATGGTATTGGCTTGTGCGCAGTGGGCAAATGGGAGAGGCAACTTCCTCCGACAAGCTAAAGACAGGTCATTTGAAGCAATGATGAACAGCCCAGAAGATGTGGCTAGAGCCACACGGTGGATACTAAGCAAAGGAGGGTAGTGAAATATTCTCCCAGAGCCAATTTCAGTCAAATTCGCAATATCAAAGAAGTTTGCCCACGAGGCAATGATTCAAATTACTCCACCACGTCATTTTTTCGCTCCTAGCGAGTTTGACTCCTACCTAAGTCTTACCAAGTCTACAAGTACGATCGAGTACATCCTCATCCCAACGACCACACCTCTCTTCGACCTTCTCTGGTCTCAGTTGACCACCAAATACACGCCCACGCCGATATATACACTCGGCGGAGGAAATAAAGCGTGGCGCACTGTTGGTAAAACACGAAGTAATACAAATTGGGTGCCGTCACGAAGTCAGCTGTCCGTCACGAAGTCGGTGAATAATGTCAATTAACTGGTATCTCGATATACATAAAACGTTGTCTCTTCTTTCCTTCTCCCTCTGCCCTTTCTTCCTCTACTCCAAGCGCCTCGCTAATGAGCTAAATCAGATCCCTGCCAAAGTCCTAACGACATCCTTAACACCGCAATTACATAGAACAATTCATAACGCCCAAGTATAATCCTTTTACCGACACGCACAAATCTGGGGGACAGTTCTATTGGATGGATGTGAGAGGGATTAGGACAAGTTCACAAGATGATGTAAATGAAAGATATAATCTCGACGGGCGTGTGATTTTGAATTTTCGCAAGAGTTTAAGGAAATGAGTTTTCTGTGCACCAAGACTTCGCTCGCGAGAGTGCAGCTGACACTACAAACACAAGCCAATGATGGAAGGTGTTGTGATCCGCCTCCTGGTGGTGTTCTCTGGTATGGTTTGAGTAGCCTGGGCACCTACTCCACTTGGGAAGGAGACATCTCAGATTACATTTCGCGCGGAGAAAAGTTGATGGATGACGGAGGCATGTCTGGATAACTTAGGGTTTTTGAGACGTTCTCCTGGGTGGGTATTCACGGATGAGGGTTGACTTGGGGTGAAGAAAAAGCCGCCATAACTTCGCAGTGGTACTTGCAAACGAAATCTGAGGCATGAGTGCTCTTCCTTTAAGTTAAATCATCACTTCTGTACTTTTCTTTGATGTTGTGTCATAGCTAGGTAGCTGCAAATGCAATTCAAATCTGATGCAGAAAAAAACCCAGTACGTGAGGAGCTCACGTGCTGTGCACAGGCACGACATTAAGTATTTGAATTTGAATTTTTCCAAATAATCCGATTTGGCGCCCTATGGGCTCATGCAGGTGTCTACAGTATATAATATTTAGCCGGGAGGAAAGCTTCATGGTGAAAACCTCCCACACCTTTCTACTTGTTGTCTATAGTTCTCACCCATTTTCTTCAGGAAGCGCAGTTACACTATAGTGCCATCCATGTAAACTAACCAGATCATCTCTATTCTCCCCAAGCATTATTTGACCTTTTCCTTTCCCTCAGCAGTATTTCGACCGCTTTTGTCATCTGGAATTGCTCTATCCAATCATGGTTTAGGATCCACTATGTTATCCTTTTTATATCTCCAGGATTATTTATCATCGCTTCGTAGAATCGATCTTTGGCTTGTCTCCAGATCTCAGCTCTACTATTTGACCATCTGGGGCAGGACATAATCATATGCTTGGGGTTCTGTGATTGGTAGCCACATGGACAACCTGGACTTTTTTTTTTTAAAATCATTTAATGTGTATTCAGCTATCTAGCTATGACACATGAACGGTGCTATGTATACATGTTGGATGACTCTTTTGACGTTAGAGACACTCATACTCTGGATTTCATTCGCAAATACCACTATGAGGTATGTTCGCTTACACAAACAGTCGACCCTCCTCCGTAAGTACCCACCAAAGGGAATTTCAAAACCTTTGGTTATCCAAGCATGCCTTCGTCATCCACGCATACCAGCGCCGCGAGAAATGTGGTTGTGTTTTGCCGGATTTGAACCAGCGATCTACTGTCTCGAGTGGAATATGTGTCCAAGCTATCCAGACTCTACTTGGCAGACAGGCCAAGACGATATACAACCGCACCATCCAACCATGGCGGTGTTTATAGTGTCACCTGCACTCTCGCGACCGAAGTCTTGGCACGCACAAAGCTCAATTTGTAAAAACTCCTTGCCAGAATTCAAAATTCCACGCCAGTCGAGACTGAATCCATCCTTCGCATCATCTTGTTAACTTGTCCTGAATCCTCTCACGCCATTACCAAAGAACTGTCTCCCAGATTTCTGCGCCACGCTTTGTGTCCTCCGTCGGGTATAAATATCGGCGTGGGCGTGTATTTGGTGACCGGCTGAGGCCAGAGAAAGTCGATGAGAGGTGTGATCATTGGAATAAGGATGTACTAGGTCGTACTTGTAGACTTGATGAGGCTTAGGTAGGAATCGATCTCGTTGGGAGTGAAAATTTGACGTGGTGGAGTAATTTGGATCATTGCCTCGTGGGTCAACTTGTTCGATATTGCGAAATTTGACTGAACTTGGCTCTGGGAGAATATTTCACTCCCAGGTTCGTAGAGGACACCGCGTACAGGTATTCAGTCTTGTCCCCCGACAACCTGGACTTAATACCCCGGGGACTTTTCTTTTATGTAAATACGAGTTAAGCCCCTTGTGCTCACTTCGTATTTGAAACGCTAGACTGCTTTGGGCCCTTGTCAGGTTACGATGTAGGAAGAATGGCGAGCCTTGAAAACTCAGTTCTTGCCGTCCAGACTCTCTACTTTGGTAAAATTTGGCTGCTCTCTAAGTTTTGGAATCTACAGTTGCTAA